AAAAAAAAAAAAAAAGGACCAAGAAAGCCCCACATCAGGCTCCCTGCTCAGCAGAGAGCCTGCTTCTCCCTTTCCCTCTGCCTGCTGCTCTGCCTACTTGTGCTATCTGTCAAATAAATAAATTTTTAAAAATCTTAAAAAAAATAAAAGGACCAAGAAAATCACTGAAACTTCATGAAGTATTAAAGAGAATATACATTTAAAAACTTCTCTTCTTTTAATCTCCCTTGAATCCCTTCTTTAGTCATTTAAAATAAATTGCAGAATATGTCATATAAACGTTGCAGGGCAAAACTAATAAATAAACCTTCAAAATAGTCTTTCCCCTTAAGGGAATCTCAGGAAATCCCTACTTGCCAGAAGTACTTAGCATAGATTGAAGTTAAATGATTGATATTATATAAAACACTGACACTGTGCAGCAGACTCCAAATTTTGTCTTTGTTTTGATATAATAGTCTGGATTTCACCCCTTGTTTTCCGTTCTTCACAAATCTTCAGACTTGTTACAGAAACTTACAGAAAATGACACATATACAGGACAAAGAGTAGCCAGCAAGGCTGCTTCCGGCACTTACTTGCTGAAATCCCAAGCTGCAACCCTGTCTTCCGTCCCAGGCCCTCCACGCTGCCCTACAGTTTTTTCTAGGCCTCTCTCTTTTGTTAACATCGGCAACTCAAGCTCAAAGTCTCCCTATATTTCTTTTTTTACTTTTATTTGTTGGGTTGTTTTTGTTTTCTCTTTTCAAATTTTTATTTAAATTCTAGTTAGTTAATATACGGTGCAATATCGGTTTCAGGAGTAGAATTCAGTGATTCATACAACACCCAGTGCTCATCATAACAAGTGCCCTCCTTAATATCCAGTTTTTTTTTTTAAAAAAGGTTTATTTTAGAGAGACAGGGTGCATGCATACACATGAGGGGAGAGGCAGAGGGAGACGGAGAGGGACTCTCAAGCCGACTTCCCGAGGAGTGTGGAGCTCCGCCCAGGGCTCAATCTCACAACCCTGAGATCATGACCTGAGCCTAAACCAAAAGTTGGACACTTAACCGACTGAGCCATTCAGTTGCCCAATACCTTCTTCTTCTTCTTTTTTTTTAAGTTTTATTTGGAAGAAGAACAAAACAGGACAATACAAACAAAAAAAAAATCACAGCTTCTGTTGTGAGAATCACAAAACTCCTATTCTACCCTTCCTCAGTACTTACGAACAGATCCACTTTTTATAATGGTTAATGGCTCCAGAGAGCCAAGAATTATCCTGGACGTATATATGAAAGTACATTTCAATAACCTAAAGAAAAGTTATTTTGGAAACGAGATTTATCTAACCATTGCAGTCCATGTCACATTTAAATATTTTTAGTTCTATGTATACAGACTGGCCTACTGTTCATTTTTTTATGCAAATCAAATAAATAGTTGGTGTATGTCCGGTATGAAATTTTTTCAAATCCAATTCACTCTCAGGAAACAAATGCAATCAGAAACTTCAGTCAGCTCAAAAATCTACATTGTTTCACACTATGGACAAAATGGGATCCTTCACCCTCCAAAATGAGACTTCCTAGATGTAGTTTTCCCTACCCAAGGTTTCCAGTCGTTCCCATCAATGATTATTTTGTCTATTTTTAAGATGTGCAATAAAACACAGCTGTTCACACACTATCCTAAAAATATAATAAAACCTGGTAATAAGTTCAGATAAAAAGGATGTGCCTAATCAGTTTATTCTGGTGTTTTTTAGGAATGTGAATCATATTAAATTCACTTTCACTGGTTGTAATTTCTAAGCAATTATGTGCTAGACACAGCACTAGGCACTGACGTGACAACAAAATGACCTTTCTGATGGCACCTGAATAACCACCTAATTACAAGCAAGTGAGAAGTTCTAGAAGTTACTGGTTAAATAGCTTTCCAACTTTCAGTGCAATAATAACGTGACATTTTCAGTTGGCTAACATAAAGATAGCTAAATTTAGAATAAAGTGTTTTCATGGTAATCACCCATAGGACAAGAAAAATTCATTATACAAAATCATCCATAATGATCTATTCCCCCTAGTATCACAACTACCTCTGTCCACAGATGTGAGCTTACTGACATAACAGATTTGCATTCTAAGACATATAGCCTTGATGCTGAGGATACAAAAGAATTCTGCAATAAGAGAATCATCTGGAATATGCATCAATATATCAAGAATCACATTCTTCTGCCTATCTAATTTGGCTTAAAACTTACATTGCTAACCTTAAAAGAAGTATCCCTTTGAAAAAAGCTCAAGATTTCATGGAAGAGAAGAGGTTCAAAACAGTAAATGATATTTAATACTATTTTCTTGCCTAGAGCTAACGGTATAAAAATCAAAGAATAATGTAAAAAAGTTAATAAAGTCTGTTTCTTACAGGAAAACTCACAAAAGTATTAATTCTGCAAAACTACTGCATGTTTACATTTTTCAGCATCCCTTGAGATTCTAATATACTGTTAGTCTTTTTTTTTTTTTTTTTTTTTGTAAATCTGGTCACCCTGCAGATATCTTATTGCTGGATACTAGGATGAGTGAGGCTTGAGGATGCTTTTTATTGTTGCTGGTGCCAAAACTATTTACACTTCAACAAACACTTAGTGAGTACTCAGGATTAACATCCCCATAGCTGATAGATGAAATAACGCATAATGATGCTACATTGTAATTCTGTCCTTAGGGGATCCATCCTGTGGAAACCACCCACAGAAACTACTTAACAGAGCAGGTCCATTCTTCTGATAATTCAATAATTATATCACTTCATTTTAAGTTCCACTTTTTGGTATTGTAGTTATATTCTGGAATATTTAATAGTCATATTAGTCCTAAACAGATTAAGAAAGTAAAGAAATATAAATGCTAATTAAGATTACCTTTGCTCCAAAGATGACGAACACATTTGTCCAGAGGCTGATTCAGAACCACAAGGCAGTATTTCAACTTCCCTATGGAAATAAAAGAAGTAAAGTAAGTAGGTGAACAGAGTCCTCTGTTCCCCTCATTTGAGTCTGGAATCACACTCTACTAATCCAGATTTTCAATCTCCACAGAGCTAAATTTCAACTACAACTAATTTCTCATACTTTAATTTTAAAGGACAACATACTTTAACTGATCTACTTCATCCAGTATGTCTGTCCAAATTACTATATTGCTGAGGAATTGATTACAAAAACAATTTATCATAAAAACAATTGGCTAAGCTTCTTTTTGTAGGGGATGAGGAGCAAAAATGTTCTTAAAATGAATTCTCATCCTTATGAGATATCCACCCCTTTGACACAACTAGTCTTCCATCTGGCTGGTCCAACATCATCCTGACATTATTTAGCAAGTAGTGGGGCCTGGAGGGCACATGTTTTCACACTCATTCTCATTTATTCATTTTCTCTCTCCTACTCCGTATCTCTTTCCTCCCCATACAAACTTTGGTATGCACAGAATCCCACTAGCTCTTTTCATGACTCTTTTACTCGAAGTTTTTAGATGGCACTCAAAAGATGAAGACACTCAAAAGACAGAGAAAAGTTACTTCTCCAACAGTCATTGTAAGCCCTTTATAATGTACTAAAAATAGTGCAAAGCAAAATGCAATCAGGCTGTTGAAAACGTGTCATTCAGCTCAGTCCAAGCACTCCATTTCATTTATGGAAGAGAAATATTTGTTTGGTGATAAGAAAAATTAATTTTTTAAGCAATCTCAGTGTTAGAAATGGAACAAGATAAGGACCTGAAAAGGGGATGCCATCATCCACAGCACACACTCTTAAGTGCTGATTACATAGCAGGCACTGAGAGTACAAAGAGGAATAAGATTACAGAGTATCTGTGAGATGAAACAGTTATAACAAAGAGGATTTATTCTAGAATACAACACAACACAAGTACATGAAGAGGACCAGGTGATACACAGATGAGTGTGGCAGGAGTTCAAAGCCCAGAGAGTCAGTAAGGTCTCATGTCACCCTAGAAATCTTTGTGAAATGCAGATTTCTGAACTTGATCTTAAAAGGAAAAAAAAGAAGGTGGAAAGAATAAAGGGAGGGGCAGTCCAGACAGGAAAACACCACACAGGAAATTGCTATCCTTCACCATTAGGGTTACCAGCATGCAGTTTCAGAAGCAATGCCCTAATGACAGGAAACCAAGACAGGGACCAGCATCCCAGATTTCAGACATACTGTTTAAATAGAGGAGTTTAAGTTGAGGCACCCAGGAAGTATTTAAAAGGGATGTAGAAATGAGTACTAAAAGCAATTTGTATCTATTTGGTAATCATGCATACAGAAATAATAGCCAAGGTCAAAGAGCAGCCTAGCAGCTGAGATATTGCAAAGAAGGGGCAGACACAAAAGAATAAAGGAGGAAAGCAACATCATACTGTTTGGCTCACCACTACAGAGCTGAAGGACATCAACAAAGGAAATGCAGAAGGAAAAACAAGAAAGGCACAAGAAGGAAGAGGGTATTTCCCAGAACGCTCTGTCAATAACACAGCGTGCTCTAGAGGGGTCATAGAGACTGAACAACCAGAAAAGGCCATTGTGGGGGGGAAATCTCAAAGCAAAATCTGAAAAGTCACAGAGGGAGCCTCAAGACAGGGAAGAGAACAAGGAGTTAGTAAACCAGGAGGAGAATGCCGCTTGTTAAAAAAATAAAAAGTGAACTGTGAGAAATGAAGGGAAAATGGCAGCTAAGTCAAGAGAAGATTCTTTAAATATAGAAACAATCTTATATTCTGAAGAGAAGAGGAAGAAAGGCTGGGATTCATTCATTCATTTAGCAGGCATTTATAGAGCACAAAATACTCCTGTTCAGGCACTGCTGAGCTTGCGGCCCTCCTCAGACTTACATCCTATGGATGAAAATCAATTGAGATGGAGGTACATGAAGACATATAGAGACACACAGCACCGAGGCAGAGGTGGAGTATGGCTGATTTATTTGTAAGTAAACAAAACCAAAGTGAGAATATGGAATTAAGAGTACAATGTGAACCATTTCAAAACAACCACTGTAAGAAGTGGATTACGGAAGGTGACAGTCCACAATTTTAAAACTACAAATTCATTTGGAGTTCACTAGCAATTAGAGGACATCATCTGGTCCATCTCTAATTTCAGGACTTTTCCCACTAATTCTGGAGAGGGGAAGCAGGAGGAGGCATTAAACAAGTTAAGACGGTGATGACAGGAGGTTTGAGAATTGGCAAAATCACTTATCAAGAGGTAAAGGGAATCCAGGATGCTCCTTTGGGCCGCATTACTGTGAACGATTGTGGCAGAGACCATAACTGCCTCAGAATATTCTTTCTCTTCTTAACAACAGAATCCTGAGCAGTGGGGGGAGGGTTTCATCTTGTTTCATTTTTGGTTTTTACTTTGTTTTGCTTTCTGTTTTTTGTTTTACTGGGCCCATTACTGTCCAGGTGAAAAACTATATATCCCAGACTCCTTTGCAGCAAAATGTGGTTTTAAGATTAAGTCTGGCCAAGGAGATGTGTATTAGACCTTTATAAGTTACTTGTAGGGAGTCTCCTTAAAACAGAAGGGGCTCGATCCTCTGCTTCTTGTCTTTCTCCATCCTACCATCTGGATCAACTGAGGAACTGCTGAATAAAATTTTAGCAGCCACCTAGGATCATCAAAACAAGAGCAACAGCCTGAAGGAGGCTGGGTCTCCCATGACTCCATGAAGCAAGCCTCCCATTCTACCACTTCATTGCCTGCTTACAGACTTCTTTTATGTGAAGAAAACTTCCATTTTACATCACTATTATTTGGGGTTTCCCTATCCTATAGAGAGAAACTAAATTTTAATTAATGATCAGGCTGGCTGAGACAATCTAGATAGGAATTAGAAGAGGATTTTCAAGAGGAACAGGCATGCATCAAAATGCAGGAAGTAAAACTTTTGCCCATTCATTCATTCATTCAACACGGATGGAACATCAATATAAGAAATTCATAGCCTGGGGGGCGCTTGGGTGGCTCAGTACGTTAAGCATCCCACTCTTGATTCTGGCTCAGGTCATGATCTCAGGGTGGTGACATAAAACCCCCCTCTCCGCACCTCCCCCCATGGGACTCCTCACTGGGGGGTCGGGGGGTGTCTGCTTGAGATTCTGTCCCTCTCCCCCCTCCCCTCCCACTTGCCTCTTTCTCTCAAATAAATCTTTTTTAAAAAAATTCATAGCCTGACACATGGTAAGGGCTCAATATGATGTTAAGGGTGATAGTAATTTGGATAAACCAATAGTCCTTTAAGATTTGACAAGATCTACACTGCTAAAAAAGGTATTCAACAATGTGATACGTATATTTAAATGAATGAATGAAACCACCTTCCAGCACAGATTTTTTGATATGTAAACTCAGCATTTTTGTGGCTCAAAGAGCAGTGTGATGAGAGGGAAAGGCTTTATTATCCACATTACTGCTCCTCTAAACCAATACTTTCACTAAGGTAATATCTATGAAGGCATTTTTGAAAAGAATGACGCAGTATGAAAACGTATAGTACAATTAAGTTATTAATAATCAAAAATTTACTTTAGCAATTTCTATATATAACATATATATATTAACCTCGTTCTATCTACAAATACTTAGGTACTAGGAACTGATACTCTTTCCTTTTCTCATCCAATCTCCTATGGCATTTTAACTCGATGAAGTCAGTTTGATATTCAACTCAAAGCCCTCATGATTACTAATCCATAGGTTGCAGAAAAAGGAGAACCCAAACTACCTATTGTAACTAAACAGTTTAGTTGTTGGAACTCCACAACACTATGGGGTACTAAATCATGGGACACTGCCTTTGGCTCTAATTTACAGAAATTTATATAAAGAGAGAAAGTCAGGAACGTGGAAATAAGGAAATGAATAGTATTACCTCAAGTATTTCTCAAGCTATGACACTGATGTAGTTCTGGGATACACAAACAGATTTAAGAAAAGGCTGTGAAGAACTTCCTCGTTATACTATAAAGACAACAAATTTTTAAATCAAATATGCTAAGGCAATCTCAAAGAGAAATGTACGAATAGAGAACACGATTTCAAATGCAAGAGAACTTTTTCTTTACAAAAATATATAATACCTTCCGTTTTAAAGAACAGAGAACAACGTAGACTGGTCTCAATTCTTCCAACATTAAATCAGTAGTACTAGAATTGCTTTTTCAAAAGGGTTTCAATTATGGCAGAAGATGGAAGATACCTGATCCTGGATATATGAAACCCAAGTGCTCCAAAGGTACCTGGAAATCCTGAAGTTAAGTACAAAGAGAAATTGATACAAACAGGATCCTAAGAAGATAGGATAATTAAATACAGCACGGTACATGAAAGAGACCCAGGAAAAGAAAATTCACATTAGGTAAAAACTAAGGAAATTTGAATAAATGATGCAACTAATAATAAACTAATAATAATGTATTAATATTGATTCATTAATTATATGGGAATTCTCTTTACTATTTCAATTTTCTGTAAATATAAAGCTGTTTTAAAAAAAAAAGTCTATAAATTTTTTTAAGTCCTGGAGCAAGGAAAAGAGAACTAAAAACTATTCCATAAAGTAATGATACGGCAATTACTCCAACAAGGGTTATTAGAGCCCAAAAGTCTGTTTGGACTTCAGGTATAAAGCCAAGAAAAAAGCCCACTGCAACAGAAGGCAAAGATAATTCTATTTCATCTTGGAGAACCGTATTATATCAAGATTTTCTTTTAGTTAAGAAGTGCAAGGACAACAGAACAGCAAATACCAAGAAATCCAATTTCTTTTTATTTCAGAATTCCAAAATTTAAATCCAATTTATTTAAACAGAAAAAGAAAACATTTCACCAATTTCCCTCCCCACCATACCCACCTCTGGCAACCACCAATCTGTTCTCTGTATCTATAGGTTTGGTTTTGTTTTATATTTCATATATAG